TATATATATATATATTTTTAACATTTTTCCCTACTTCCACTTTAACCAGCTCGGGTTTAAGGTGACATCTGGCACTCTGACTGAAAGGCTAAGTTTATCTTTTACATAAATTGGCATATGCAGACAAGGAACCTTTTCAGTTACCCATGAACCCTAGCAGAAATACTCCCAGAGTTTACATTCCTACATCCTGAGTTATTTCCAGGACACGGCAGACATTTGGCACTTTCCCCAGAATCATAGGGGAATAGAGAGCTCACTGCACATGCACAGATTTTGAATATGGAAGCTTAACTGCTTGTGCAATGCAGAGGTTGAGCATCCGATGTCTGTCATGTCCAGGAAGTAAACTAGGATAAAGGAAGGTAAACAGGCACAATGAGTGAAATTAAAGGCCACCAGGTATGACTTTCCATTAGACAATATTTTTTAAAAGAGCTAATAATGCATTTTAAACTGCTAAAGCCCTTTGTGTACATGGCCCATTTTATGTAAAAAGTGAAAATAGCCTTTAAGCCAAAGTATCAGATTCAAAGACATTAGCTAATGTTAACTTAGGGGGAAAATAAATTATTCATAACTAAGCCTGCACAACTGTAATGTACATTAGGACTAAATGTTTAGATTTTTACAAAAGCCTAGGTATGGGCAGGTCTCATATCATATAACATATCCACTTCCTAATTAGTAGAATAGCCTTTCAATGAACCTTTAAAGTTTCTACATGTATTTCTAAATATACTATATGTGTCCAAAAATAAACTACTTATTCAAGATATGGTTTAACTAGTGGCAGATACCTTGTTGGAACAGTTGGAACAGCAAGTGGGTCTTGGGAGACTTCTTGTGTTGTGGAAATCCCAATGTGATTAGTGCTTATCTGAGGCTCAGTGTGAAAACGGGACAATGTTGTGGGAGCACATGATAAAGCACACAAGTTAAGGAAATGTGAAGGAGGCATAACAGATCTAGGTGCTGTGAGATAATGTTACCAAAGTGGTAGATTTTGCACTGATAGTTTTGGCACTGAATAAGTTAAACATGCTTGAGTGACCTGGCTGGTGTGATCAGACTGATTGCTCATGGTATGTCTGCTTCCCTAAAATATTTAGCAGTGTGTTTGCATGCCTGGTTGATCATGCTTTGAGGTCTAGAGCACATTTAAGAAAATCTGGCTGATAGACAATGAACCGACAAAGTGCCCACCACCCACCTGTTCTCTCTCATGTTTATAACTTAATGGATGCAAGAGGAACTGGCAAAAGTTGCTTCATAAAAAATTTTGGAAGTGACATAGTACTAAAATTGAATAGATAGGCTAGGAATGTAAAAGCCTCTTTATTAATCTACAATAGGTCCTATAGATGGTACATGTCAGATATGGTTCAATTCTAAGAAACTTTCTTTGAACAACATTATTAATTATTAAGCAGGTGAAATGTCAACCTTTACCATACCTATTGAGAATAAACAGCTATACTCTATATGTCTAAATACGAATTAAAATCATTGTATAGATAAAATTCAGGACATGTCACTGTGTATATGTTGTCCCCTCCATAGGTTGTATTACACATTTAATAACGTTTCCTGTAGTCTTGTACTGATTAGCTTTTGCTGCATCTGCTTGAAAACGGTTTACTTTTCCCATCATATAGACTTTTTCATATGTGTAGCCCCCAATGGAATGTTAAAGGGTAATGCCACTTCCGTGGAAAATAATATATAACAAATAATATAAAAAATATAGCAAATACAATTTCTACACAAGACATGTCACAATTGAAAGTTATTTAAAACTACCTTTCATTTTCATTCTGCAGTGTTGTAGTTTTCTGAAACATTTCCATTCACTATGGCAACCTGGAGGCATTCTGTACACAGCTGGTGTACACAACTCCCCCAGAATTGTCATTTCCTGCTTGTGTGATTGGCATTTTCCCAAACGTCTGCACTAAGATACAAGCTACAGTACATGTTAGCCACCTCTTGCAATAGGAATTACAAGTTTGGTGAGATACCAAGGGTAAATACTTTTAAAGGGATACAGGCACTGCAGCTTTTCCCGTTAGAGCAGCTGAATATATGTACCAGTCCTTCCCACTAAGAATCAGTCTGTAAAGGACATGGTCAAACAAACAGCAATTTCTTCTGAGCAACAAAAGTTAGGAATCTGCTACAAAGTTTGGTAAAATCTCTGCAATGCACACTGATCACAAATGTTACTCTTTCAGGTGTGTGAGATACAACTTTTGACATAACCTAAGCACATTACATTTTATTTCTTTAAACTGAATCATATCAGATACTTCTCAACCAGCTTCATTAAATCCCAATTCTTTCTGGAGATAAATAATATCTTGCCCTGCATTAACTACCTTACAGAGCTTAGTTTTTATGGAAATATTCTCTTTGTGCTCTATTCAATGCACTAATTTATTCATGGAAATACAGAACCAAACCAGACTGAGGGAAGATACACTGGGCTCTCCAGTAATAACTTCTGTGCAATCTGAAGTTTTAAATTTGTATAACATATCTTTGTTCCTACTATTAATACACTATATTGCCAAAAGTATTGGGACACCCCTCCAAATCATTGGATTCAGGTGTTCCAATCACCTCCATGGCCATAGGTGTATAAAATCAAGCATCTAGGCGTGCATACTGCTTCTACAAACATTTGTAAAAGAATGGGTCATTCACAGGAGCTCAGTAAATTCAAGTGTGGTACCATGATAGGTTGCCACCTGTGCAATAAGTCCATCCGTGAAATTTCCTTGCTAAATATTCCACAGTCAACTGTTAGTGGTATTATAACAAAGTGGAAGCAACTGGGGAACAACAACAAACCCTGCACAAAGCAAGGTCCATAAAGATATGGATGAGCTTGGGGTGGAGGAACTTGACTGACCTGCACAGAGTCCTTACCTCAATCCGATATTACACGTGTAGGATGAATTAGAGTGGAGACTGCGAGCCAGGCATTCTCATCTGACATCACTGCCTGATCACACAAATGCACTTCTGGAAAAATGGTCAAACATTCCCATAGACACACTCCTAAACCTTGTGGACAGCCTTCCCAGGAGGATTGAAGATGTTATAGCTGCAAAGGGTGGCCCAACTCAATATTGAATCCTATGGACTAAGACTGGGATGCCACTAAAGTTCATGTGCGTTTAAAGGCAGGCAATACTTTTGGCAATATAGTGTATTTTATGAAGAACAGAAATATATGCTTTTGTAAATGTGAATTGCTTACCATGAACAAACATGCTCCAACTCTTGAAATGCAAATGCACATTTTGGGTCAGTAACTCTAATATGCCAGCAATGGCAGTTCCAATATTTCTACCATCACAAGTTCCCTGTAAAGACCTTCAGAACATAGACCATTTAGGCCTGATAAGTTATCCCCTTCCTTCTTGGCTATGCCAACATATTCTGTCAGGAATGGACTAGCCAGCAATGGTGGGACTCACCTGCCTTTTGATCTGCAGTACCAGGGCTGGCCAGCGGGTGCTCCCAGCAATCAGAGACTCAACTTTGCAGCCAGCTAACACCTGGAACTGATTATGCTGGGGTATTTAAGGGATGGCCAGACTTGCAGACTCTGCCTTGGTGTTGTGTTCTCTTGGGCCCTGTATCCTGTTCCTGCTCTCTGTTCCTGTCTGATTCTCTGCTGACCCTGCTCTGATCCCTGGCTTGTCTGACCATCCCTCTGCCTGACCCTCTGTACTACGCTGCTTGCTACCTGTTCTGATCCCTGGCTTGTGACCCTGACCATCCCTCCGCCTTACCCTCTGTACTACGCTGCTTGCTACCTGCTGAACCTGGCCTGTGACCCCGACCCATCTCCGCTTGCTCCCCCTGTACCTACCTGCCCTATTGATATTGACCCGGCCTGCCTGACGACGCTTGCTTGTATGTACTGTTATCTGTGGGTGGTTGGTTTGGTTTGGTTTGGTTGCACTGTATTATGTTTTAGTATTGCACTGCGTTTATGTTTGTATTGTTAGTGTTAATAAATTATATTGTTTATAACATATCTGAGGTCTGCGTTTCCCTGCGTCAGCCACACACCTCTGGTCACACCCTGGGAGCCCTGACATTACACCAAGGCCAATCCTGACCAGAAGTGGCTGCACAGGGAAGCCATCTTGGCTTGTTGCTGGGAAGGATGGATCTGGATGAGGTTGTGTATTTATATCTGCTAGTGTTTGATGACAGGGAGTATGCTTATCAAACTCTGAAGGAGTATACCCGGGATCAACTACTAGAATGTATACGGCTCGCTCATGTTCTAGTAGATCAGGGCACAGAGTTCTCTGAGGTGCAGCCTTTGATTGAGGTTTGTGCTGAGTTGGTTTCATCTGGTTCCCCTGAATGCAGGGATGAATTTTTGCCACCATTTAGTGCAGACCAGGTAGAGTCCCTGGTGTGGTTATTAGAGGATGATGTGGGTTACTTTCTGGAGCGTTATTCCACATGTTCACCACAGACACTAAGAGATTGTATAAACGCGGTGCAGTCATTGACCAGACAGGCTTTGTGTAAGCTCAGCTTTGTTCAACCCATACTGCAGACATGGACAGACTTGTTGCACCCAGCCTCAGTCAGCTTACAAAAACCCAGTCCTGCTTCTAACTCTACTCCTGTATTCCCACCAGCTCCTCCAGTTACAGCCCAGTATACTTGGCTATCTACCGCATGTCAGTACCCTGTTCCCACTCGCTGCACCTATCCTGCCTTTAACCCTGTAAAAAAGCCCTCTGTAGCAACTGCTCCCTCTCCTGTTCCATCCTCCAGTTTTTCTCTGTCTCCAGCTGCTCCATTCGTTTGCAGACCTGCGTTTACTTGCAGTGCTCCAGTAGTTAAAACCAGAAAAAAAGCGAAAATTCTTTCCAACCAATACCATCCTGCCAGTATCCAAACCGGTGAACCTGCCTCCGTGACTCAGCCTGAAGCCTCTACTCAGCCTGAAGCCTCTACTCAGCCGGAAGCCTCTACTCAGCCTGATGCCTCTACTCAGCCTGATGCCTCTACTCAGCCTGATGCCTCTACTCAGCCTGATGCCTCTCCTCAGCCGGATGCCTCTCTTCAGCCGGATGCCTCTCTTCAGCCGGATGCCTCTCCTCAGCCGGATGCCTCTCCTCAGCCGGATGCCTCTCCTCAGCCTGAAGCCTCTCCTCAGCCTGAAGCCTCTCCTCAGCAGCCTGATGCCTGCATTCAGCCTGATGCCGCTACTCAGCATGATGAACTGATCCAGCCCGACGATCCTATTAGGCCAGTTGACTCGATGCCCGCTGTTGATCCAGATGATCCGGTACCTGATCCAGTGCCCGCTGTCGTGCCAATTGACTCAGAGCCCGCTGTCATACCTGGTGACCCGGTGCCACTGCCTTGCCAGATGACGCGGTGCCCGCTGGCAAGCCAAATGACCTGATGCCTGGTGACCCAGTGCCCGCTGTCATACCTGGTGACCCGATGCCCGCTGTCGAGCCAGACAATCCGATACCTGATGACCCGGTGCCCACTGTCGTGCCTGTTGACTCGGAGCCCACTGTCTTGCCAGACGACTCGGTGCCTGCAGTCTTGCCAGACGACTCGGTGCCCGCTGTTCCGCCAGTTGACTCGGTGCCCGCAGTCTTGCCAGACGACTCGGTGCCCGCAGTCTTGCCAGACGACTCGGTGCCCGCAGTCTTGCCAGACGACTCGGTGCCCGCAGTCTTGCCAGACGACTCGGTGCCCGCAGTCTTGCCAGACGACTCGGTGCCCACTGTTCCGCCAGTTGACTCGATGCCCGCAGTCTTGCCAGACGACTCGGTGCCCGCAGTTCCGCCAGTTGACTCGATGCCCGCTGTTCCGCCAGTTGACTCGGTGCCCGCAGTCTTGCCAGACGACTCGGTGCCCGCAGTCTTGCCAGACGACTCGGTGCCCGCAGTCTTGCCAGACGACTCGGTGCCCGCTGTTCCGCCAGTTGACTCGATGCCCGCAGTCTTGCCAGACGACTCGATGCCCGCAGTCTTGCCAGACGACTCGGTGCCCGCAGTCTTGCCAGACGACTCGGTGCCCGCAGTCTTGCCAGACGACTCGGTGCCCGCTGTTCCGCCAGTTGACTCGATGCCCGCAGTCTTGCCAGACGACTCGGTGCCCGCAGTTCCGCCAGTTGACTCGATGCCCGCTGTTCCGCCAGTTGACTCGATGCCCGCAGTCTTGCCAGACGACTCGGTGCCCACTGTCGTGCCTGGTGACTCGGTGCCCGCCGCTTCGCCTGGGGGCCCGAGACCTGTTGCTCCGCCGCCTGAGGGCCCAAGACCTGTCGCTCCATCTGGGGGTCCGGCGCCCGCCGCTCCGCCTGAGGGCCCGAGACCTGTCGCTCCATCTGGGGGTCCGGCGCCCGCCGCCGCTCCGCCTGGGGGCCCCGAGACCTGTCGCTCCGCCTGGGGGCCCGAGACCTGTCGCTCCGCCTGGGGGTCCGGCGCCCGCCGCTCTGCCTGAGGGCCCGAGATCTGTCGCTCCGCCTGGGGGCCCGAGACCTGTCGCTCCATCTGGGGGTCCGGCGCCCGCCGCTCCGCCTGAGGGCCCGAGACCTGTCGCTCCATCTGGGGGTCCGGCGCCCGCCGCTCCGCCTGAGGGCCCGAGACCTGTCGCTCCATCTGGGGGTCCGGCGCCTGCCGCTCCGCCTGAGGGCCCGAGACCTGTCGCCCCGCCTGGGGGATCGATGCCTGTCGCCCCGCCTGGGGGCCCGATGCCTGTCGCCCCGCCTGGGGGCCCGATGCCTGTCGCCCCTCCTGGGGGCGCGATGCCTGTCACCCCTCCTGGGGGCCCGATGCCTGTCGCCCCGCCTGGGGGCCCGATGCCTGTCGCCCCGCCTGGGGGCCCGATGCCGGTCGCCCCTCCTGGGGGCCCGGCGCCCGCCCTGCCTGGGGACCCGATGCCGGTCGCCCCGCCCGGGGACCCGATGCCGGTCGCCCCGCCCGGTGGCCCGGTGCCTGTCGCCCCCCGCCCGGGGGCCCGGTGCCTGCCACCCTGCCCGGGGGCCCGGTGCCTGCCTCTCCGCCCGGGGGCCCGGTGCCTGCCTCTCCGCCCGGGGGCCCGGTGCCTGCCTCTCCGCCCGGGGGCCCGGTGCCTGCCGCTCCGCCTGGTGGCCCGCTGCCTGCCGCTTCGCCTGGTAATCCGATGTGCCTCTGCCCGGAGTCCTGCCCGATGTGCCTCTGCCGGAGTCCTGCCCGATGTGCCTCTGCCCGGAGTCCTGCCCGATGTGCCTCTGCCCGGAGTCCAGCCCGATGTGCCTCTGCCCGGAGTCCAGCCCGATGTGCCTCTGCCCGGAGTCCAGCCCGATGTGCCTCTGCCCGGAGTCCAGCCCGATGTGCCTCTGCCCGGAGTCCAGCCCGATGTGCCTCTGCCCGGAGTCCAGCCCGATGTGCCTCTGCCCGCCGGAGTCCCTTTGCCCAATGTGCCTCTGCCCGGTGTGCCCCTGCCCGGTGTGCCGCTGCCCGGAGTCCTGCCCGGTGTGCCAGTCATTGATATCCCGCCAGTTACCAGACCCGGCGGTGGAACATTTTGCCCAGCTAGGACTGTTTGGAGCGTCCTGAGGCCGCTCCTTGAGGGGGGGTACTGTCAGGAATGGACTAGCCAGCAATGGTGGGACTCACCTGCCTTTTGATCTGCAGTACCAGGGCTGGCCAGCGGGTGCTCCCAGCAATCAGAGACTCAACTTTGCAGCCAGCTAACACCTGGAACTGATTATGCTGGGGTATTTAAGGGATGGCCAGACTTGCAGACTCTGCCTTGGTGTTGTGTTCTCTTGGGGGCCTGTATCCTGTTCCTGCTCTCTGTTCCTGTCTGATTCTCTGCTGACCCTGCTCTGATCCCTGGCTTGTCTGACCATCCCTCTGCCTGACCCTCTGTACTACGCTGCTTGCTACCTGTTCTGATCCCTGGCTTGTGACCCTGACCATCCCTCCGCCTTACCCTCTGCACTACGCTGCTTGCTACCTGCTGAACCTGGCCTGTGACCCCGACCCATCTCCGCTTGCTCCCCCTGTACCTACCTGCCCTATTGATATTGACCCGGCCTGCCTGACGACGCTTGCTTGTATGTACTGTTATCTGTGGGTGGTTGGTTTGGTTTGGTTTGGTTGCACTGTATTATGTTTTAGTATTGCACTGCGTTTATGTTTGTATTGTTAGTGTTAATAAATTATATTGTTTATAACATATCTGAGGTCTGCGTTTCCCTGCAACAGCCACACACCTCTGGTCACACCTGGGAGCCCTGACATATTCTATGTTCTTGACATGAAATGCCAGAGATCTTTGCCTTTTCATGACACCTGTTTGTTTAGGACAACTCACTTATTGTGAATGCATTAACAATTAAAACCTGCACATAAAAGTTACAATTTTTCTTAAAAGTTAAACACTGTAAATTCTTGCAAAGCAAGCAATTAATATCCCCTAGTCCACTGCCCATGCCACCAAACTCATTTGTGTCTGATGTGTGTGTATATTAGTACTGGACAAATAGAGGCAATGTTTGGTACTGGTGAATACATAATGAAGTAAGTCTTCCTTCATAGGGGCTCATACACATTGAAGGTGCAGTATAGGTGCACTGGTCCTATACTGGTCCTGGAATGATGCCTCATTGATAGTGGCAAATAGAATACTCAGCAGATAACAAGCTCTAGGGTGAGTATTGAGTAGTACCTGGCACAAAAGTTCATATCAGACAGAACTCTATATGAAAATGTGTATTGAATAGGAGTATTACGTAAAGCCAGCATGTTTCAGTGAAAATCTTCCCCTTTCTCAGGGTTAATCTACAAGAGAACAATGAAATGTTAAACTCACAAAAAATTATCTTATACTAAATATTCTAGTGATGTATGTCAAAGAATTAAATATAATGATCTAGTTTATAAAAGCAATAAGAGATGATATTTTAGTAAAAGGGTAGTAGAAGCAACCGCAGAGATAAACCAACAATTATACATATATATATATATATATATATATATATATATATATATATAAATAAGTGTGTGAATTTGTACATGTTTTAGATTACAGGAAGCTAAAGCTGGAGCCTGTGAACAATGTGTGAAAGAGGACTAGAAAGTGAAAGGGAGAGAAGAAAGAGATAGGGAGAGGTGTGACAAGCTGGAAAATGAAACAATAGTGTAGGTTGGAAAGAGTATTAAGGGTAGTAAGAGGAGAGCGAGCAGAAGGCTAGTGCTGACTACTGATGGGAATGCTGATATGTTGAAGAGATAGTGTTGCTAAAAGATCTCCAGCATCCAGTACGACTAGGGTGTGTCAAATGTCTGACCCCCTTCTGTGCTCTGTAAAACCATGGAGCACAGCTGGAGATTCCAGCATCCAATAATCCCAGAAATATTGAATGTAAAATGCCTTTCAGCAACAATTTCTCTTCGCTGCAATGGAGTTTGCAGCATAGGCACAGGGACAGGTGAGTTTTAAACGCTTGCTCTACAGGGAGTGGCAGGGTTCAACTTTTGAAAATGACAGCACAATTGCTTTAACTCTAAACACTAACCTTAAACCTCTGGTGAAATTTCTACTATTAAAGTTAACAAAAAAGTTACAATATTGGTGGCCAAAATGCTATTCCATTGAAAATGCATTATATAAAGTTTTGGTTGGCAATTTATACTGTGCCAAATTGTTGGTGCTAGAAAAACTGCAGCTAATGCTATGAGCCAAAATTAAATGATCTGTAGCAAGTTGGGCAGCACAGTGGCTAAATGGTTAGCACTTCCGCCTGGCAGTACTAGGGTCGTTGCTTCAAATCCCAACCACAGCACTACCTGCCTGGAGTTTGCATGTTCTCCCTGCGCCTGCGTGGGTTTCCTCCGGGTACTCCGGTTTCCTCCCACACTCCAAAGACATGCTGGTAGGTTAATTGTCCCTAGTATGTGTATGTATGAATGTGAGTTAGGGACCTTAGATTGTATACCCCTTGAGGGTTAGGGACTGATCTGAATGTACAATATATAATGTAAAGTGCTATGTAAATTGACTGCGCTATATAAGTACCTGACATAAATAAATAAGTTATACTGTATCTGGCAAGACTTGCCCCTTCACTGCTGAAGTGATTCTCAGATTGGTGGCATTGTTGGTGGAAACCATGCTGTGTATTGCTTGTCCTACCCTCAGGATAACTATCTGGAGCAGCACCTTCAGCTTCAGTTGTCTCCTCTCATCCATGTGAACATCAGCTAAACTGACTTTTCCATTAATCACCTGGAGGGATCTGTTAGTTGGCAGGCTCATCTTTTTACTTAAGTACAGACTGTCATCCTGAGGCAATGCCTAAGCCTAGATTCACAAGAAAAGATAATGAAAACACTGACACAGGGAGAAGTCATACGGTTATGACTCTAGTGGTGACAATAAAGCAAGCAGTAAGTATACCTTAACTAAGCATGCTAACAATATTTTACTATTATTCATTTCACTTTTAATATGTACATCCCAGAAAAGCAATGTTTAATCTACTTTCCAGTTGCTTTACATCACCCGCACAAGACACGTAAAAATAATTTACAATGTTTAGA